TAATTTCAGTACATTAATATATACAGGGTTCTTCGAATGAGATTCATATACCATGAAATATATTTCCATTGTGGGTTTATGCAGTCTGACGTTCTACAACTTGTTCGTATGTCGTACCAAGAAAGTTCGCCTTTTCGAAGCCTATCCGGAACACCATATGGTTTTTTAGTTTCAGAACCGCAGCATTATATATTGAAATTAAACAATGACCAATAATACTATAATTTTGTAATCGGATTTTCCTACTATACGATTTTCAGGGCATCCGTAAAAAAGGAAAATGTCACCTCATCGGAATACGGGTTTCCGCACCTCCGATCAACAATGTGATGTGAGTGACATGGCACGCATCTGTATTTTAATATCCAACTAATAATAACTCGAACAATTTAGCCAAGGCCGATGAGTGGTGACATTCCACACACATTTGTATCGTCAAACTAACTTTAACGAATAATAACTTTCGATAGAAGCGTGATGGATGATGGTGATATTCGTGCACCCGTACCGTCGTCCCATCTAACTTTCGACTAATTATAACTCGAAACAATCAAATACATATCTATATTACCCATATAACATTGTAATTGTTTATAAATAATTCTTGTGCATTTGTTACAAATGTTTCCTTATCCGCAGAATTTTGTGCTTGATTTCTTATCATGCTGTAATTGGTAACACCCTGCATGTACTGATAGCTGATAACAACCTTACTGGTATATAAATACACATCCACCCGGATATTCCAGTTTCTTCACCTCTACGGACAAGAGCATAATACATCTGTTTGTTCTTGACTATTTTACGAACACAAGAGGTGCTCCTTATCTTTGACGAAATAATCAATCTCGATTGAAAAAAAAAAGTTAAACGTCTAGAAATACAACAATTATAAAAAATGTTCACCGAAATCAAGAACTACTTTGCATTCAAGACTTATCAATCTGAAGTTACGACATCAACGAAAGGCCTCGACCCATGGGAGAAAGCATTATTTGGTAAGTAACGACTTTTTACAGAGGAGGTTTATATTCTCTTGTCTGTCCGTCCGTGCTTGTCATGAATTAATTATTAATTACCACTTTTTTTTCTCCATATATTAGACTCCTTAGTATTTGTAAGCATCACTCTATTGACGTATACGACGTTCGCAACACTCCCAGATCAAATGCTATCGGCAAAATTTGATGATCTCAATGCATTACACTTTTAAGTGTAGAAACAAACAATCGAACAATGTTATTGTATTCGCAATTCCCAACTTGAAAAATTCCAACACCCCTATTTTTCTTTTTATCGATATTTTCAATTTTATTGAATAATGGATAATCGAATCCACCAAATATAAAAAAGGAAAAGGGCCGAAGAAACAGTAAGTTATATTGAGAAAGACTTTTTACGTAATATAGATAAAGGAGAAAATCGAATGTTGATGAGAAAGAAAAAATGTTTGTCCGTATAACGGAAAGAAGACATTAATGAGATGAAATAATTAACCACAAATTTAAATGAATGGTTCAAGATAAAGTTTAGACAATAATAGATAATAGTAAATAGGAAAACGATAGAACACGGTGGAAAAATTTCCCCTTTTTTGTTTGTTGCAACTCTCATTCAATGTCTTGTATAATTGGACAAAACACTGCGATAGGGCTGTTTTCTTCGTGAGTTTGAGAACTTTTCAAGCAAATTTTTCTATTATGCGATGATGAATTTTTAGAATACAAAATATGTTTCAAAAAATATATTTGAGAAACTTTAATTTGAAATAAATTTATTGCAATCGCCGATTATGTCAATCCATGTCGTAGCATGTATATGAAACAATGTGCTAGGCTATTTATAATATCTCACACAATTTAACCAATCATAATGGAGGGGAAATTCTATTAATAAGGCATGCGTTGTACAAATTACTCAGGAAAACGGTTGGGTTTATTGTTGTGTAACGAGATCTACCCGGAAATTCCGATATTACGATTATGCAAATTGTGGTAGTGCCGTTTGTTCTTTAGAGCTGCATGGTAGCTCTCTAGTGTAGTGTTTGGGCATAAAGGATAGGGATAGGGGATAAAGGAGATGATAAAATCAAGGGCCTACTTAGGGTCATCCTTTGTTACAAGATTAATTAATTGTTGTAACTGATAATGCAACATAAAAAAAGCAAGTTATTTATAGCTGAAACGGTGAAAATAGTGAGAGTTTTAATTGGCTGATATGTCATAACTTTGGTATGTAACCTCCGTTGTTTCTAAATTCAGGCACAGCACACGTTTGTAAGCGTCTAATACAATGCCGTAAATTATCAACTTGTTTGATGACTTGTAAGTTTGAATATTCAGACTTTCGTTACCACGCACTGCACTGCACTGCACATTATTCATAAAACACTGCTTGTTATTCATATCGAGCGTCGTTGTTCAAAACGTATATTTAGAACTTGATTTTTGTTTCCACTTTATTGTTTCTTGTAAACTATTTACGTAAAGCAGGGCTGAAAAATCTTCCATTTTTTTGTCGCTGCATTAGAACGCCTTCTAAGATGGTGATTACAGATAAGGAAGCTTAAATATGCAGATTATAACGATACAGTAAACAGAACCATATTTGTAATAAAATTATATCAGCCATCAAACATATTGTAAGCAAACGCAAGTCATTCTAATGACTTGATAAAGCGGCTGCTTTTGCGGTCCGTAATTTGTCATACAAACAGTTATACAAGTCTCATTTAAACTGACTTATGTATCTTCTTGTAATTTATAACCGAATGTTCCCGTTAATGCTCGAATATCTAACCGTCATGAACGTCTTAACGTAGGCAGGAAAAATTTTTCCTGATAACCGGATCACCTAGATGTTATCACAGTAACACCGATTTAGTCTACATGGACAATGAATGCAGGATGTGCATATACT